CCAAAGCGTAACCTAATCCTCAAATTTCGTTGGCATAATGGTCTTTTTTTTTTTTTTTTTTAATCCAAAGCGTAACCTAATCCTCAAATTTCGTTGGCATAATGGTCGCCTTTGAGAAGCTTTAGGAYAAAAGTATTTAAATATAATTGGAAAACGTCTGACGACGGTAACGCGGCTGAAGGTGACAAGACACCCTGCTTAGTAGAAGACCTATTCTAAGATTTTCATTTTTTTTTTTTTCGTCCTTCAAAACAGCTGGCTATATTTTTTCTCCGTATGCCTTTCAATCATATACTATTTTTATGCCCTTGAAATTTTAATTCCATTTCTGGGTTGTTTTTTTGTTTTTGTTTTTGTTTTTTTCCTTCTCGTTCTCATTTATTTTGTCTCATTTGATTGTTTTAATTTCCTAAATGAAAATCTCTTGCTCAAATCCCTCTCATTCATATTTCCTTTCATTCAATATTTAATTGATCTACTTCGAATTCTCCTTCTATCTCGTAAATTTATTGGCCCTCAGAGCATTTCGTTTGGATTCACTTAGCAACACCCGCCTCTCTTGCTGTCTGAGGGTTTTTCTTATAAGTTAATTCTTCAAGCGTGTTCTCCTTCACTGTAGCACGTAGACACATATCAACATATATCATAACTGCATTTTTTACGATAATTAGTTCTCTTGGTAAATTCTCTAGAATTTCTAACCTAGAATATAGTCCATTGTTCGTTTTACTCATYAATTTGGCTTCCCTCTTTCCTTTTTACTCTAGTCTATTCAACCTTTCTTTAAAGAACTCTAATTTTCATTTTTGACAAGGATGACTTAAACCAAAATGTATCTAACCAAATTKGTATCCGGTCTTGTGTTGTCTTGACAATACCTTAATAAGCATCAACCAACTAATAGACATATAAACGACTCTACAACAATCATTCATTCTTTTTTTAAGCACTCACCATATAGACTTGGACAAATCCCCGCGATCAAATTACAAAATGGCCAAATTTCCATTGGATTCACATTTGCTAAGTCAACAAATTGGTCATTCCAGAAAATTCCCAATTGATYTTTTTATTGACTTATTGTCGCTTGTGTAATTTCTTAAGTAACGTTGAACGTAGTTTTTGACGTTTACAATTCAATTCCATGTGTACAGACGGCGAGTTAATGCGACAAGCAGCCAGACTGCTAGTCTCGATTCATGATCTTTTAATAAATTTAACTCGTAGGATGGTAAACATTTCGTTTGTACAGCTTGTCATTTAAGAATAAGGTCATTTACAGCCTGAAAAAGCGATATCAATATCACCACAAACGTCCAGTAGTTTCACCACRCATGCGTAATGTGTTTCTCTACTTTATGTCTCATTGACGCATATAGTCATACAATCAATGAAATATGGCCAGGGATTTAAACGTATCCGAAAAATTTTTCAGTATTTTAAGCGTTTTAATCTCTTAAAATAAAACTAAGTCTAGTCACGGTAATTCCTGGTGCAATTAAAAAGAATTGCTGGATAACTGCTTATTAARAGCGGAGGTCATGGTAAGAGCCATYCTTATTTTGTGCTGTCTACGAACATCTTTATTTTATTTTTATTTTTTGCTTTTTCCCCTAAAAACACTACCARCAGCTGGGCTTTTGGCTTTTATCACGATCTWAATATATATACCTCATCCGGCGAGATAACGAATTCGATAAGGGAAGAAAAAAACTTCCAGCTTATTGAAAGCCTTTTAAGACCTTTTAATTAAGAGTTCAAATATTCCAGTTCTTGATTACAGTAGCATTAAAACCACACACGTAWCACTAAGGATTTATCAATTACGAATTATACATTTTTGGCCTTAGAAACGGGCGGTCAAGAATGGTCCTTAGCAAACATGTAGGCCCAATGTGAGGGCAATTGAACTGGTTGTCAGGGAACTCTTTGACATTATCGTGAAGCTAGCGGTYTACTGAGGAAAATGCCGTTATTTTATCACCAACAAATCATCAGATAAATTGTTAATATCTTAGTAAATGACGATAATAAAAAAAACCGGGTCAAGGAAAGTATTATTAACGTCAAATGAAKGTAAAAATCTAGAAAGATTAATGTGGGTAAATACTATCCGAAAGGATATCAATTGGTTGTGCAAGGTAAGACTTTTGAAGTCGAGTTGTATCCAAATCCTTTGAGAGACAAGTAGGATGACAACGAGATTAATTTTTTKGGGGTAGATAGTAATCAAGGAGCTGGTCAAGAATAGCATACAGGGTGGGGGTGGGGGACTTTTTGTCAGCATATAGAGGGATAGAGTTATCCAGATGAAGTAAAACCTCGAGGCAATATTGTATTCAATCAGCTACAACGAATCCTGAAACAACCTCTGGGCAGATCAAAGTCAGGCACGACTAACTCACAGATAATACGCTGAAACAACCTCTGGGCTTATCTAAGTCAGGGCGCGGCTAACTAACAGATCGAACCCTAAAACAGCCTCTGGGCTGATATAAGTCAGGGCACGACTAACTCACAGATAGAACATTGAAACAAGCTCCGGGCTGATCAAAGTCAGGCACGACTAACTAACAGATCGAACCCTGAAACAAGCTCTGGGCTGATCTAAGTCAGGGCACGGCTAACTAACAGATAGAACACTGAATTAACCTCTGGGCTGATATAAGTCAGGCACGACTAACTCACAGATTGAACCCTGAAACAAACTCTGGGCTGGTCAAAGTCAGGGCATTGCTAACTAACAGATGGAACACTGAAACAACCTCTGGGCTGATATAAGTCRGGCACGACTAACTCACAGATTGAACCCTGAAACAACCTTTGGGTTGATCAAAGTCAGGGCATTGCTAACACATCTAATCCGGAAATATCCTCTGGGCTGATCCAATTCGGACTAAATACAGATTCCTCTTTTACTCCGACGAAGGACTAGCGTCCGAAACGTCAGTAAGTTTTTTCATCTTTTCACGGTGTAAAGTTTACCCGTTTTATCATTACTGTTTCACAGATTGAATTAGAATAGCGTTAGGTTTTGTGGAGSGAGGAAAACCGGAGAACGAGAAGAAAAACCCTCGAAGAATCAAAAGAGAGATGATCTAACAAATCCTACTTACACGTGTACTCTCCAAGTTTAGGAATCGAACCGGAGACCTTAGAGATGAGAGGCAATTGCGAGTTTAGTTGCGYACCTTTTCCAGGTTAATTTGATGAGTGTATCATTCTCTTGAGTGTTGTTTCTTTCTTTTACTGGTAGCGCTCGGAGGTCAAAGACAAATTTGAAATCATATTACGCTAAATTCTCTAAATGTTAACTTYAGTAATCTTTAAGAGGCTTTGAACCAATTTACACTATTGTTAATACTTTCCCAATTATATATATACACCTACTTCACCTACTTGCAAGAACGTTGTCATACGATATTAGAACATTAGTAATTTAGTGAGAAAGGAATACATTAAAAGACAAAGGAAAAAGTTCAGCTTTCAGTGATCTTCTTTTGTTTTTAATATAATTCCTTTCCCACTAAATCATTAATGTTCTGAATATGCCATTCATTTGATAATGATGATGATTTATGAATTTATATAGCGCCTTTCCTATATGAATATAATCAAAGGCGCTTTACATTGAGAAGTGAATGACAGATTGCTTTCATGCAATTTACAAGCACGAGAGATGGTTGGTATGAAGTGTAGGCACTAAGGGTGGTCACTGCCAGGGTTTCTTTACGTCCTCAGTCGTTCTTTTACATCCCTCCTATGTTGGTTAGTAATGATGAGTGTGGAGAGACGGGACCGCCATTTAAAGTGGTCATCCGAGCCACTTGAAAGTCTAGCCATTTGCAGATGTAATTATAAAGGCAGCAACTTGGTCGGGCTAAGGTTCAGCTAGGTCAAAAGTCAACGAACTTCGAACCGTATGCATTAAAAAAAAAAAAAAAGAGAATACGCCGCGGTTTTCTTCTGTTATGTCATTTAATTTGGTTCGGCTTACGTGAACGCTTTGTATTCGGCCTAAGTACAGTACCTAACTATTTATTAACTGGAATTCACACAGCAAAAACGTGGGAATTACTTTTCGAACTCAGATTCGTAATCAAGTTCTTTTGGTGATGTGTCAATTTTCCCATCATATCTCGACGTTTAATTAAGAAACCTTTTCCGAATTTTATCTTTCAATTCCAATACCAAAATAACGTTTTGCAAACAAGACCCATCAGAAATTGTCGGCCTGTTTCACGCAGTAGCCTGCTGGTATGCGAGAATGGTAATCTCAAAAGGGGTCCCCTGGTTATAATCTTAGCTTTTAAAATAAAAACCGGGTTCCGGAAAAAATATATCTGTTGATCGTGCGCGCAAGATGGTTGATGTAAGCTTGCGTTAAGGGCTCAAAATAAACCGCTTCGCCGGTATGTTAAGTGGGCTTTCAAACCAAGAAACGATTAGAAAAATACGCGGTTTTTAATGTCTTTATAGTGATGGATAACAGGGACCCGAATCCATTTGTTGTTGCCACGGGGATCGCGGTGTTCACGTACATGATGATAATAATCATTAGGGTTTGTTAAGTATCCGTTTTGTCATGTCCTTTCTAGGAGTCAGTGTAATGCTTTACTTTGATATTATATAGGGTTAAAATACTAAAATAGGGAACGTGGTGCATTATGGTCTAGCTTGGGTGTCATGCCTTATATAGCGTTTTATTTGCTATAACTAGACCAGAAAAAAGAACTTTTTAGTGAAACTTGTTGTTGTTTCGTTTTGTTTTGTTTGTTTTTCGTTTTTGTCTTTTTTAGTCCAGCGTTGTTGTTTTTTGTTTGTTTGTTGTTGTTTTTTTTTTGTGCGTTTGTTTGTTTGTTTTGTTGTTTTGTTGTTGTTGTTATTGTTGTTTTGATTGCTTTTTTCATGGCTACAACCTTTGACCAAAACCGTATAAAAAATCGAAAGCAAACATATATTAAACTCTTTATTCCACAAGCAGGTGGGTAGAACAATAAATATATATAAACTCTGAACAATCCATAATAGACAATAAATTAAGATCAATGTATATTTGACAACCAGAATGTCACATTGACGCGATACTATCGAAATAAGTCCATAATAATAGATCGAATTTTAAATTGTAGCAAATGAATTGCATATGGCAAAAAATTTGAATATGTAATCTTTATGTCTGTGACAAAATATTTTCTCTTTGATTTGATTTAACAATTTTTTTTTTCTGTTTCGGTTTTTAGTGAATATTTTTAAATAATTTGAAGGAAATAATAAGGCATCTTCTCCAACAGTAACTCAAATTATTATAATCTTAATCGTTATCTGTCCATATKCGACAGGATACTCTTTTATACGAAATATTACACACACTTTTCCATAGGAATGACAACAGTGGAACTACGATGTAATGGTACACACACCACAGGTAGCCCACCCACAGATTTACCGACCATTAGAATTTGATTAAAGTCGCAAAAGTTCAAATTTATTTTTCCATTGATTTTTGTGAACTTCAAAGGCAACGACCTGCAAAGGATTTTGGGGGTGAATTTGTTGACGACATCAAAAAGCTTTGCCACCTCGCGTCGCCAATAAGTTCCACAATCCTAAGCAGTACGAGGTCGCTAATCAGTCTTCGTCGAATTTTACAAGCATATTCTCGGTATAGAGGCTTTGCAACACCACGTGACGGTAGCCATRACAGGAGGCAGGAACAATTGAATCTGGTCTAATATGGCATACATGAGAAAGAATTCAGTTTCACAGTGGAAAAAGACTATTGATGCCTCCTTTCATGGCTGCCATCACRTGATGGTGCTAAGCCTCTATYGTGGCAAATMATTCTTCGCTCRATTWAATGAAGTTAAACTAGATATTTTACGAACCTAAATCGTCTCATTTCGTACAAATCGTTGCARCTCTGATACGTATTTTTGGCTGATTTCTCGTAGACTTGACTGTAGAACCTCTCCTAGCTCTCTCTCCATGTTTTTCTTTTTCCTAGTGGTTTAATTATAAGAAAAAGTCAGAATCTAATGGACGACTTATTAGACGATACGGCGGCCATCTTGCCAGGTGGCAAAACAAAACAAAGATGACGAAAAAAATATAGAGTTTCGTCTGTTTGTTTTTCTTATTTCTGTTAAGGTGATCGATGTGCCTCTTGTGGTGGGCTGTTAATATCAATCAACTTTATAACTGTAGCAAAGTTTTATTTGCCTCCTGGACGCCCAATAATGCATTAAGTATCGTCGAAAAAGTCAATTGGGACATGWTGTCCATTTAAATTTATATTGGTCATGCTAAAAAACGCGCGCATTGATTATAAAGTGCGCTATGATTGATCAACTTCAAGGTACCCATGAATATAAGAATGCTTTGGTTACCTGGCTAAAGCTTTAACTGCATTGACAATTGAAGTACACTCTTCTCTGTACGCCTACAAAAAACATGAACACGTTATTATATCTGATTGGTATTAGCCTAC